CTGTTGTTCTCAAATGAAATATTGCATACTGCGTGCTTATGTAATCTTCATGTATTTCTAAAATCTGAGAAAAAGACGTGTCTTTTTTGGAATCTGGCAGTGTTTAATATGGAGTTTGATTTATTTTTGGGGCTGTTAAATAGGGTTGGTAGGATTGAATATGCTCTTCGTTGTCTGTGTTCTTTGCAGAATCAATCAAACAAAATGGTGTGTTGAATAAGAAAAATCACCATGAAGATGATTTGGATTCTGGTGTTGGTGGTTTTCTACAATGGGGTTTGCCTAAATGGAGTTGCTACAAATGTAACTACAAGACCTCCTTTTGTGAGCATTGGAGCTCTTTTGTCATTCAATTCTACCATTGGCAAAGTTGCAAAAGTTGCCATACAAGTTGCAGTTGATGATGTGAATTCCGATCCATCTGTCCTTGGTGGAACTAAGCTAAGGCTTAAGATGCAGAATGCAAATCAAAGTGGATTTCTTGGCATTATTGAGGGTACATCCTTTATTATCTCTTGCTTGTTCTTGTCATTTCTCCTTTAAATTCATTAACTGGATCTCAAAGATGGATCATGATTCTTCATTTTTTTTTTTTTTTGATTTCATCTGTGATTGCAGCTTTGAAGTTCATGGAAACTGATACTGTAGCCATAGTTGGTCCCCAGTCTTCAGTGACAGCTCATGTAATATCCTTTATTGCAAATGAGCTCCAAGTCCCTTTATTATCATATTCATCCACAGATCCTACTCTTTCTTCACTTCAATTCCCATTCTTTGTTATGACCTCCCGGAATGACCTGTATCAGATGGCTGCTATAGCTGAAATTGTCGACTATTATGAATGGAGAGAGGTAATAGCAATCTATGGGGATGATGATTATGGGAGAAATGGGATAGCTGCATTGGGTGATGCACTTGCAGAGAGACGATGTAAAATCTCATATAAAGCACCTCTGACCCCTACAGCAACCCGGGAGGAGATCACTGATATGCTGATTAAGGTGGCTTTAACTGAGTCTCGGATTCTTGTTGTTCATACCTTTTCCAGTTGGGGTCCAATGGTATTCAGTGTTGCTCGATATCTTGGCATGGTGGGACCTGGATATGTGTGGATTGCTACTAATTGGCTCTCCACTCTCTTAGAAACTGATTCTCCTCTCCCAGCAGACATATTGGATGATATTCAAGGAGTTATTACATTGCGTATGTACACACCAGAATCAGAACTCAAAAGGAAGTTGGTATCTAAGTGGAGCAACTTGACTAGTGGGACAGCAGCTTATGGCCCAAATCCTATGGGGCTGAGTACTTATGGTCTATATGCTTATGACACAGTATGGTTACTTGCTCATGCAATCAATGCATTTTTCGATCAAGGAGGGAACATTTCATTTTCAAATGATTCAAGACTAGCTGGACTACAGGGAGGGAGTTTGCATCTTAATTCTATGAGTATTTTCAATGGAGGAAACCTGTTGTGTCAAAACATTTTGCAGGTTAACATGACTGGCGTGACAGGCCAAATCAAGTTTAATCCTGATGGGAGCCTCATTCATCCAGCCTATGAAGTTATCAATGTGATTGGGAATGGGATTAGAAAGATTGGTTATTGGTCAAATTATTCTGGCTTATCACTTGTGCCTCCTGAAACTCTTTACTCAAAACCTCCTAATCATTCCAGCTCTGGTCAGAAACTATACAGTGTTATTTGGCCTGGCCAAACGGCACAGAAGCCTCGTGGGTGGGTTTTCCCAAACAATGGAAGACATTTGAGAATTGGAGTTCCAAATCGTGTTAGTTATCGTGAATTTGTCTCTCAAGTACCCGGCACAGATATGTTTGCTGGGTACTGCATTGATGTTTTTACTGCTGCTATCAACTTGTTGCCATATGCTGTCCCATATAAATTAATGCCATATGGAGATGGAGTTAATAACCCAAGTTGCACTGAGCTTGTACGTTTGATCACAGCGGGTGTGAGTATCCTAAAACAAAATTTTTGCAGATTTTCAAAAGTGCAACAGTTCTTTATTGTTTATTAGGTTTTCATCTTTCTTATAGGTCTATGATGCAGCAATAGGTGACATTGCAATCATCACTAACAGAACAAGGATGGCTGACTTTACTCAGCCATATATAGAGTCTGGGCTAGTTGTAGTAGCTCCTGTTAAAAAAAGGAATTCAAGTGCTTGGGCCTTTCTGCGGCCATTTACTCGAGAGATGTGGGGTGTGACAGCACTCTTTTTCGTCATTGTAGGTGCAGTTGTTTGGATTTTGGAGCATAGGCTGAATGATGATTTCAGAGGTCCTCCTAGAAAACAAGTAATTACTATTCTATGGTAAGTAGCTTACAAAATCATTTGCAGTCTTATAGATTGTTTTGGGATGGTATGGTTCTTCCCTACTTTACCTTTTCTGTATTCTTTTGATTTCTTTCACTATATCTCAATTTCTTGACCAACATATAATCACAGTTCATCTTTTGGCCTGGTCAGTTGTTCAATCACTTAAGATCATGCTTGGCTTCTGCAGGTTTAGCTTTTCAACTTGGTTCTTTGCCCACAGTAAGTTGAAAAGAAAATCATATTTAGTTGTCCTTTCTAATAGCTGCCACAATCAAGTAGCTTCAATCTAATAAGTTGCTTTCTCGTATCTAATGAAGGAGAAAATACCATCAGCACGCTTGGTCGCTTCGTGCTACTTATATGGCTGTTTGTGGTTCTTATAATTAACTCAAGCTACACAGCAAGTTTGACCTCAATCCTTACGGTTCAGCAGCTCACTTCTCCTATTAAAGGCATAGAAAGTTTAATATCAAGCAAGGATCCAATTGGTTACCAGCAGGGTTCATTTACCCGAGATTATCTAGTTAATGAACTTGGCATTCATGAGTCCCGACTAATTTCACTTAAGATGCCAGAAGACTATGCTAAAGCCTTGAAAGTTGGTCCTCGAAATGGTGGTGTGGCTGCCGTGATTGATGAGCGTGCATACATAGAGCTCTTCCTCTCAACTCGATGCGAATTCAGTATCGTAGGTCAAGAATTCACCAAGAATGGATGGGGATTTGTGAGTAACGGCACTATTTTCCCTTTCGTTGCATGATTCTTTTGTGTATTCTAGGCTGTTATATTTGATAGTAACTCATTTTTAGCATTTCACATATCCAGCTTATGATGATGTTGGTTCTTCATTTACTAGGCATTTCCAAAAGATTCGCCTTTGTCTGTAGATTTGTCAACTGCGATTTTAACACTATCAGAGAATGGGGATCTGCAACGGATCCATGACAAATGGCTTATGAGAAGTGCATGCAGTTCACAAGGAGCAAAATTAGAAGTGGATAGACTTGACCTGAGAAGTTTTTGGGGCCTATATTTGATATGTGGAATAGCTTGCTTGCTTGCTCTCTTCATATATTTTCTGAAGATGGTGCGACAGTTCAGTCAGCACCACCCACTGGAGTCAACTTCTTCTGGACGAAGCTCAACGTCTGCACGTCTTCAAACATTTCTTTCATTTGTTGACGAAAAGGAAGAGGAAGTCAAATGCCGCTCCAAGAGGAGGCAACTGGAAATGGCCTCTAATCGAAATGAATTCGGGGACGGTTATAGTTCCAAGAGACGACACATTGAATCGCCTGCATACGAAAGTCCTCATGCTAGTAATGAAGCTTAACGATCCGTCATCAATTTATAGTTTCATTCTAGGTTTAGTTAATCTCTTTTCAACGATACCCTGCAACTTCAATCGCCTAAAGGCATATGCAGGCAACATAAAAGAGAATTATTGGCAGCAACTTTTAGTTTTGTAGTAAGAATAGAACTTATTCGCAATCAACAATTACATTCTACAGGATGTTTGAGTTACTCATTCTTGGCACCGTTTGTATTTTAATACAGGAAGAATAGCAATAAATAAATAAATAATTATGATGTACGTACTTATTAATGGTTTTTTTTTTTTTTTTCATATTCATATTCTACATGTAATGCTAAATTTATTTGAGCAACTGTAAATTAACAAAATCAGTAATGAATATGAGTATAATTTTAAATAGCAGTTGTGGTTGAGAAAACAATTACAATCGCAGACCACGATTTATCGTCATAGTAAAATAACGATCGCATAACAAATATCATAAATACATTCATAATTATTAATAAATTTATTCTAATTTATATATTTTTAATAATTTTATTAATTAAATATACTAGTGAGTAATAATATTTTTAATAATTTAATATCATATAACAATACTTGAATTTATTAAAAAAAAATAACTAACAACACTTTTAATAGATTAATGTCAATCAAAAAATAATACATTACATTTCAATTTTGATACACACATAACAAAATATTTATGAAAAAAAAAAAAATTAAGATGCCATTGGTTTATCTTTGAATTGATTGCACTCAAATCAAATTAAAGCCTGCAAAGGCTGAAACGAATACTCCCTCTGAGACAGGTTGTTAGATTAGACTGATTTTTCCTTGCGAAGTCCTACTCTTTTTTTTAAAAAAAAGACTACAGCAAAAGCTTTCGGAGAGTGGAGAGGGAGAGGCTGAAAAAAACACAAAACCACGTGGAGAGAGAAGGGCTGCAATTCACTATTGAGTTTTTTTTTTTTTTTTTTTTTTTTTTAAAAAAAAAACATATCAAGTCTATATTCCCTCCCTTCCGAAAAAATGGTCAATAAAGTATTTCCCTTGTCCTTCTAGCAATTTGATGATACCCTTCTGCTATTCAATCAAGAACCATCCACTGATCCACAATCAAACACTTTATAGCCATACAAACACAATTTCTTTTGCTTTTCATGGCCATGTTACGTATCAGCTATTTAAAACTATGAATACAAACGTAATCTTTAAGAAAAGGATAAATTTTATTTATAAATGGGTTCTCGCACACTATAACATTACAGCTTCATTTACAATTATTATACATCAGTAGTAATCATCAGTCTTCAGGGATGTGACAAGGAACCAAATATTTAAACATTGCTTTTGAAATACTTCTGAAAGCATTCTTCTTCCCTACAATATTTGCACACAACCTTGTATACTTCGATCAGGAGCTTTGGGAATCGGCTTGCAAAATAGCTATCATAACCTTCTGGGACTGGTCCTAAAAGTTCCTGAAGCATCAATCCGGATCAAAACTGAAGTTAGCTATTTTGCATGCGCAAATTGAACTTACTGAGTTGTAAAGAGAAGTCAGGTGCACGGCAACAAAACCATCAACCACGACTATCATACCCAGTACACATCACAAGTTCACACGATGCAGATATAGATATCAATGTAGCAATATAAAAACATATGTTTGATGTTTGCATATATATATATATATATATAGACGATCCTAAAATGAAGATATCACATTGAATTTGTCTAAGAGGGGGGCAGATCATATTGGATTTCTGACATGCTCAAAACAGTCAGAAAGTCACTCTACAGAGTAATAAAAATGGTTCACCTCCAAGAGAACTAGGATACCAAGTTAGCTATTCAATTTTTCTTCCCCTACCTCCCTCTCCCTCCCCCTCCCCAGATTAAGAGAAGATAAACTAGAACATAATATTAAATGACACTAATCTGATGACTGCATTATCAGTGAAACCTTTGTTTATCTGTGAGGTAATAAACAAGTTGTCTGAGAAATAAACCTGAATTTCATTGGGAAGTTCTCTATAATGATTCAACTTGTTTCGTATGACTCGCAACAAGTCCCGAATGCTATCGAACTTATAACGCCGGTGGCGACCGATGTCAGAGATGAACGCAGGCTCCATCTTTTCATTCCATTTTCCACCACCCAGTGCCGTTGGTGCAATACTCTCCAATGCTTTTAGAATATCCGAGTTGGACACCCTGTCTTCCAATTCTACTCTGTCACTTGTGTCGCGAAGAAATGACAGTCTCAGCTCTGAATTCCAAAGCATAGGATGGTGCAGCACTTCCAATGCCTTAGGCCTAACAACATTATTAAAGGTATGCATGAACAGAAGCATTTAAACAGCAGTCAAGGATTCTAATTTCCTTGCTAGAATATCATTAAACATGTGCTTATCTATAAGCTAGGAGAAAACTCCAGGGAAAATTTTGAAATAAAGGTACCCTTACCTCAATTCAGGGTCAGGATTTAACAAGCGGGAAATAAGATCCTCAGCTTCTGGAATATATTCCACCAAGAAGAGGTCCTTCTGGTTTTTCACAATATTTACATCGCGTTCAAGATGATCACCAAATGGATGTATGCCACCAGTGATGCAGTAAAAGAGGACACAACCCAAACTATATAAATCAACTGCACGTGTTTGGCGTCCATGAAGAAGCTGTTCAGGTGCTTGCCAACCAGAACTGCCACAACCTGCAATGAAGTCATCAAATATCTTGGTAAAACGGCCACCATTTAATCAGTTATGTATAATAGGATATGTTCCTTGGATCATCTAATTGGGAAAAAAAAAAAAAAACACAGCTTTCATGAACAATAAGATTGCTAGACCAAGAATAATGAGTTGTAGAGACTGATCACGTGATGGAGACCATGACCTTGAATGCACATCATGTAACCCACACACGTTGGCGATTTAATAAATAAACTAGTGAAAAGTTACAAGTACTTACCAGTAGCATGGTAACCCAAAGAAGACATATCCCCAAGGAGGCGCTTGCTAATCCCCATGTCAGAAAGCTTAGCACACAAAGATCTTTCCTTAACTATTAACACATTCTGAGGCTTCAAGTCTCGATGAATTATTCCCAATTCATGCAAATGCACAAGCCCAGAAACCATATCCCTGTTTTGGATTGAAAATGAAAATGGAAAAGATAATTAATTTAATCGAAACGTAAACATTTACAGGAGGGCAGTAATATTTCTGCATTAAGTGCTATAGCATTGGCAAGATTCTTTCACTTACCTCATCAAAGTTAGTAATAGAGGTGAAGGGTGACCTGTTGCTTTCCATAAATTAAGATCCTGCATAACTCCCTTCACTGAATCCAACCGGAGTTTATACTCAATTGCAGCTTTGGAAGCTTGGTCCTTGACATAGACTGGGTTTAAAGAGGAGTCAGAGTATGTTTGAATCAAATCATCTAAGCTGCATGTACAACGCTCCAGAGAAAGGTAGACAAAATCCTTATCATACTCCACCCCATACCATCGAACAATATTTGGATGTCTGTCTGATGCAATGAGATTCTGAATTTCTTTCAAAGCGACATCATGATGAGTTCGGACAAGGCGTTTCACAGCAACTGGTCGGCCTTCATATACACCCTCAAGAACAATGGTACCATTGCTTCCCTTAGCAATCTCTGTATTTGATACAAATAGCTTACCAATTCTGTGCCCATTGGCACCTCCATCAACAAGTTTATTAAGGTCCAACATTGTTTTGTTAAAACCCTCTGCCAGTGCAATTCCATTCCCATTCTCAACACTTCCATTGTTCTTTCCTGATTTTCTACCTTTCTTCTTTTTGGAAGATGAAGCTTTTAAAACAGTACTGCTCAACTGTCCCTTCAAGGCAAAACCTTCTTTACTCAGGTACAAGGCAAAGCATAATAGCAGGATGCCAACAAACAAAATGAAGGACCGTGTTGTTGACCACATGAGAAGCATTCCAAACCTATCATGGACTTCACCTACTGCAGAATCAGAAGGCAAAGCAAGCATTTCTTTACCATGATCACTGGGACCTGCAAGCAACATTCTTGCATGATGATCACCAAATGATTTCTCAGCCCCAGGCTGTGTAGTAAGCATTTGATTTGGAGCAGACAATGGGAGCTTATCTTCACCATGAATGGCCCCAGAGGAATACTGTGACTTGTCTTGCCGTCGGACAACCATCCTTCTGGACTGACATGATAACGGTGTGTCAAAATCAAGCTCATAGCTCAAGTTAAATACTTCTGATGGATTCTCGACATCTTTACAAAGAAAAGTGGCCCCGATTGTGGCCACTTTTGTGCTCCATGAAACTTTGTCTGAATTTGGACCAAAAGTTTGCAGTGCATAATCCGTCCTTAAGACGTATATTACCTGAGCAGTATTTGATGAAGCAGACTTTAGCAGATCCTTATTATTGTTAGGGTCATCATGTAAACCACTCCCTTCTTCAATACTCAGCAATGACGATGGAGAATCAGGGGACTTAAAAGTGTGGAGAAGTCTTCCAGTTTTAGCCTCAACTACAAACACAGTAGTTTTCTTAGACCCAAGCATAACAGCTCCATCCTCTGATATGTGTGGTGTAATTTTAATAAAGTCTTCAATATTCATTGGAAGTTTCTGTCAGTGCAACAGTGTACATAAATGATTATGTCAAGCAATCATGACAAGAGGATAAATGTTTTAAATGTTTATAATCAACAGGAAAACATGGTGGCATAATCTTTTGAAAATAAACAACATGATTCTATACAAAAATGAACTTCTTAGCGATGGTGCCATACCATTCCACCTGAGTGTGCGTAATGTGCATACAACTGCCAGTCATCCCCATAATCTAAAAAGAACCCCGTATGTCCTTCTGGGCCTTTTTCTTTATCACTATCATGTTTGACTGGTGCTTGATATGAAGAGTATGTTGGCCCTCCTGATGAAAATGACCAAAGAATTCTCCCAGAAATTTTATCTTCAAAATAAATCGTTCCATTTAAGAGAGCAACTAATTCTGTAGAATCTTCAAACTGTCTATATACAAATAGGAAACAAAAAGGTAGAGCAAGAGTAACAGAATTAGATAATCATAACACAGTACAACATACAGATACCAAGAAACAGCCAAATTCAAGGTAAATTTTATGAAAAAGCAGACATGTAAACCAAGTATCGTGGATTGGGACCACAAACATAAAAGACTTAAAAAGCTCCTGAAAACATGATATCGTTTCAAGAGAGTTGCTTTCAAGGATCTGGATGGGGAGATCATCATGTTGTGGGTCACCATTCCAAGGCCAAAAACCATCCTATATCCCCCAGATATAAACCCTCTGGCCCAACTAACCCATCCTCTTTCCTCTCACACCTATCCAGATCCATGACTCTCCTCCTCATCTCTCACACCACTAATTCTTCCTCAGATCAAAACCCTAAAACCCCATCTCTTCTTCTTTACACAACGCCAAATATTTACAGCAACCATTCGCCTCTACATTCTGTTGTTTCTGCAAATTATTACCATTAGCCATTTTACCCATTCTTAAACCCAATGCTTAACCTTATGTGAGTGACTTTACTTAATCCAAAATGGAGGTGAGATCATTATGCTATGAGCCCTTTTCGTGGAGACGCGTATGTAAGTGACTTTACTTTAACATTGCTCTTAATTCAAACAAGTTACACAAAAAATCCTACTCAATCATTTCATTAAACGAACACACGTTATGCAAATTTATCCCAAGAACACAAAAATAAACAAATCAATGACAATGGTCAACAAAAAATCAAACAAAACATGATAACAAACCCCCAAACGAAGACTTAAAAATATCAAGAAACTAAATTGAACAACGAAAAATGAGTATTGATATAGTCAAAGTAACTCACGAGAATGATTTGAGAGATCTTCCGCCAGCTCGAATTGACTCGGTGAAATCAAGACTTGAAGTCAAAACAATCCCTGTCCTCTCCGAATCCAAAACATCTCCATTTGAACTTGAAAACCCATAAATGAAAATCAATAACAAACACAAAACACGAACTATATTCTGCTTCATTTTTTTATTGCATGTTTGAGAGAGAGGGTTTTGTGGTGGTTTTGAAGAACGATAATAAGATTATGATTTAAGGGAATTAGAAATTGAAGAGTAGAAGGAAGGGAGGATGGAATCAAAGGGAAGATGACGGTTGAAGGTTCTGCTTCTGTTTCCGACAGTGCAATTTTAGGATCTCCGAAACCGAGTCCATGGTGTTCCTGACCAAGACCCGGTTGTTTTTGTCTTTTGACTTCTTTGTCTTTGCCACAACGGCTTTGCTTTGCGTAAGTTTACGTTTACCTTCATTTTTTTTTTTTTCGCCTCTTCGCTAAATCCTTGTATTATTCAATCTATCAATGTAGTCCCTATTTAGACAATTCCAACAATTGAACCCTATATTTTATGGTTGCAGTCAATGGAGTCCCAGTTCAGTATGCAACTTCATCCAATTAGTACATCCAGTGATCTAAGGTGGCATTTTTTTTTTTTTATGTCAAAGTGGGTTTCACTTATAAAAATAAAATTAAGATAATCCTACGTTAAGACATAATTTTTTTTTGGATTGAGCATTAAAAGTGTTCTCGAGCTGATTTTTACACATTTTAAGACTAATCTCTCTCTCGAATATGATTAAATAGCACTCTCCAACACATGATTTTTGATTTTTTTTTAAAAGCAATAAAGAATTTTGACTCTATAGAACCTCTAGGGATAGGGGAAAAAAATCATCTTAACCCACTTAATGGAATAATTTGTTGGAAGTTGGGTATTTAATTAATTAATCCAAATTAGGAAGAAAAAAATCGGTTTAGCATTCTTTCTTTTATTGTATTGCAAGGAGAAGCATTATAGCTTAAATGAAGAACGGAACGTATAAATGTTGACTATTTTGACTAACATTGAACTTGATAAAATGCAATGGTTGAATAATTGAAAAATGAGATTATTCAAGAATACACATTGAATGCTAAGATTATGCATTGAATTTCTAGTAGTAGATTTGACAAAAAAAGACAGAAATAGCAATAAAAATATAAGTGATAAGTCAATAGGCTCTCTTTATGAAGAGAGTCTAATTTAGAAACTAAATAAATAGATACTACATAGTAAAGAACAATTTTCTTTTTGAATAATAAATCCCTTTCACATTCAACTATAACAATAGGTAATTTTTTTTCTCATTAATTTGAATGTTTCTTAAAAAAAATATTACATTGAATTAATTCCTTCAAGCTCAACAATTGAATAAAAAGGGTTTATTATCATTTTGAGCAAGCTGCCATGGTGAAATCGATAGATAAAGGAGGTTATTCAATCATATAGTTTGGGCTCCTAGAATATGGAGCCCTTGGGGCTTCTTATTTGATTATATTGAAAGATTATGCATCCTATGGAAGAGCAAGCATAAACAAAAATTTTCCTCCATCCGAGGGCCCAAGATTAAGCCATTAAATCTACTAACCATACGTACATGAATATTAAGTTATAAGTAAAAAATTACCTCTAATTGCATAGATCTAAATTCCCTTTTTAGACAAGTCGTCCAAGTGTCCGACCTCTATTGATGATTCACACAGATCCAAATATCTACAAATAAGCACTCAAAATAATAAGGTACTAGCTCCGCCTTTTCTAATTTAGTATTTCCTATGAAAATCAATTCGGGCAATTTTGCGACAGACCTTAAATAAGGAAAAAAAAATTATAGCTTGCTATGGTTTAAGAGAAAACTATTTTCTCCTTTATTTTTCACTCTTGGCCGTGTGCCTTCTATTATTTTTTTTTAAGGTTGACCAAAACTTTGCTCTCCTTTTCTTTAGCTTGGTCGAATGTTGCTCTCTTAATTTTGCTTGGTCGAAAATACTCTTTTAGGTCATCATTTTTTTCTTTATGCTGCACCTTTCCTCCTATATGTAGGGGAAAGTTTTCTTGTCCTCCAAGGACAAGGAGAAGGGTGGCAACAAGTCCTTTTAGGACTCTAGGTAATTACTTCCTTATCCTACGAGGATGAGGAGTTATTTTATATGTGGACTATTTGATTATTATCTTTAAAACATTCAACCTTATCTAATAAGGTTGATGTTTATCCTCATACCAAATATCTTAATTCTTTTTAATTAAACCTAATGGGCTAAAATTATTTTAGCTCAATTGATTTATTTGGACTATTCAAATAAATATTCTTAGATTATTTTAGCGGGGTCCATATTAGGAAGTAATTTCTCAAAATACCTTTTAACCTAAATTTGGAAACTCCTTTCCTTTTAGGTTATTTATTTCCAAATTTGAAACTAACTTCCAAATTAGAAAACCATTTTCTAAAATAAAAAAAATTTTATTTTAGGAAATTTCCATAATTAAGGAAACTTCTATAATTAGAAATCTTTTCCAATATTTTTGCTTCTCATTTATAATGTTAATACCGAAACTTATGTATGTGACTCAATAGGCTCTTAGATATATTGACAATGTATCAAGAATAAAAGACTCCTCTTTTTCTCTCTTCATACATAAATCAAGATTGACCTCTAGCAAGACATCATGACTACCTAATTCTCTAGTGAGGATTAATTAATCCATTATTACCTTTCACGAGCATGGTTAACATATAATTCGAGTCCTCATGTCAACTTATCACGGTGTGATCTCAAACTTGGTTATAAGTCTTGTTCAATTATGATCACATAAGTTTTCTTCGATTCCCAAATGTCTAAGCTCTTAGAGTAAACTAATTATGCTCCGTTGGTGTAATCCTACCGTGGTCACGACATTTCTTGAGTAGACACTTATCGAAGTGCATATGATAACTCCTTTAGCATATAAGGAATGACATATCCTATTTTAGTCATACACCTACCTCCATTAGATTCCCGTGCACCCAACGAATTGCCCAAGTGTAACCTATTAATGGGTCCAAGTGAAACGAGTGTCAAAGTGCATAAATCCTCTAGTAAGACAACCGTAATGACTTTAAGTCTAAGGATCATTTGTAACCCATCTCGTATGAGATTTTCATACATGAAAACAAAATGGGTTCTCATGATAAGCCAAGTTCGGTGATATGTTCTCTAACATGAATCACCTAAGTGCTTGCTTTGACATCACTATGCCAATAGGTGTGAGATCTCTTACTATTATCATATAGCATGAGTATCACTATCCGTATTTTGTCAATATCCATTCTTGATAATGCTACGACTTGGGACATTTAATGATATCATTTATGCACATCGGTATTTGTCTTACATCTTTTGATCGATCACTATTGCAAATGCATATCATAAGGACTTCTATCTAATTCTATTGAATTTATCAACATGAAAGTATTAGAATTAATACAATAACTTTTTTATTATTATTAAAACAAAATATGCAATAACTCATTAACTCGTGCTCATCCAAACATGAGTGGATCTTGGGCACCTACACTAACATGTATTGAAAAGTCTAATGAATTGGGATTTCCCTATTGGGCTAGGTCATCTCGGGGCAAACAGATCATTTATGATGAAGAGGACGAGCTTTAAGAGAATGATTCGGAGTTCTTATTGTAATGGCCTAAGCCCCGAGAGGGAGGCTAGAGCGCTACGACGGCATCGAACATTCACGGAGCGTTGGGCGCAACTGCAAGACACGCGGCCATGTCCGGCGCTCGCCGAATACGCATCAATGCCCTATGACCTTAAACCATACCGAAACATGCAATGCACAACGAAAGACATTTGACTCAAAACCTACTTAAAAACTCAATTCGTGTCCGAAACTTTTTCGTCGATGCAAAAGTTACATCGCAGCTTCGAATTTCGTTGATGCAAAACTACACCGACGACCTACGTCTACGATAGCCTAAGTCCGTCGAAATTCGTGACAACCTACCGTTATGTGGATTGGCAGCGAAAACTAAGGACCTACCTCTATGGATATATCATGAATGTTTTACGTAGGATACAAAAACATTAAAAGCAACATAAACGAAAGAGACTCAAACTTTGGGCGGAATACTTCATTTTATTGAAAATAACTTTTTACATGCTTGTCTTGGCCTTAAGGTTGTTACATTCAACATTTTACAACAAAACATGCTATAACATATAAATACAAGCTAAACCTAGCCTATGACCTAAATGCCTAAATGAAAGTACACCTTTCAACAAACTCTCAAAAGCGTCCGAGCAGCCTTCGCGGTAACCTACTCGCAAGCATTATTGCGGTCACCTACACCACAAGACATAAAGAATGAGCTAAAGCTCAACAAGTGTAATCATGCATGAGTTTATGGAAGCATAATGTCGTGACGAAATACATTTTCTCGTCTTTCGGACATGCCCTACCGAATATCCGATCGGTCCTCTTTTAAAACCTTGAAAACCATGGAATTAGATGATGTCTAGCCAAGGACCAACCTTTGAGTATACACCGGATCATTCCCAAGGGTGGCCTCTCATGTTCAACCTTTGAGTATACACCGGATCATTCTCAAGGTTGACATTTTCATATTCATGCACATTTCTTTTCTTGCTTAAAACATGAGTCATGAAATCAATGCCATGCCATGAATACATGTATTTTAAATGCTTAAGTATCCAAATATCATCAATGCATTCAGCTAACATAAGAGTCCTAATAACCTCTACGCATTAAAGCTAATCCAAGACATGTTATGACTCATCAAAGCAATTTCGACGGAATCATATAAGCATTTTTGCGTAATCATGCGAGCCAAGCAAATTCAGCAGAATCATAATTAAGTAAATTTGGTAGAATCATAAGCTAGGCATTTTTGACGGAATCACGACTAAGCAAATTTGGCGTAATCATAAGTAAGCATTTTTTATAGAATACAAGCCAAGCATTTCGGTAGAATCATAATTAAGCATTTTCGACGGAGTATAAGCCAAGCATTTCGGTAGACATTTTCGACGTAATCATACAAGTTAGGCATTTTCGACGTAATCATATAAGCCAAAGCCATTGATACGCGGGAGCCGGTATTTATTCTTAATAGTGACTCGATTCAGCCC